GTATGTTCGATTTGCTCCTCTTGCGAGAACTGATTCAGTGACTTGCGGAGTCACGAACTATTAGAACTCTTTAAAACTGTTGCTGTTATATAAGCATGGAGCTGTGTGATTATATTTGCTCCACTTGCGTGTATCAAAAAGGGGGAGAGTGTCGGACCCGAAATGGGGTTCCTGTGGTGCGTGTGTGACGTAAGCCGAACCGGTCAGGACCGGTTTTGGCACTAGAACACGAGGAGAAAGAGAGCGAGCGATCTTGTGAGTACGAGCGAGTTTATCAAACGAGAAACGAATAAATTTTGTTGAAATCATCGCAACAATTTTGTCAGGCACAGGAATCATAACCCTGGTTTTAAAGGCTTTATGAAATCATTTGAGGAATCATAACCTCTATGTCGTCATATCTAAAAATCACAACCACGATGTTGCAAGACTTATCAAGTCATTTGAGGAATCATAACCCCCACTATTGCATTGTTGGTCAACCAAAGGGGAGAAATTGCTCATTCGAGGGGGGATTTTTGACGAAAAAATGAAAGTGCAAACTGCAGAAGAACTTAGGAAAGTGTTACACAAATGTACTTGATAATCCTTCTGCTAAAAGCCAGTTGAATTCATTTATTGAGCAAGCAATTACTTCATGTCAGAATTAGAGAAGTAAATAAAAGATCAAAACATATTCCCCTTGGAGATCACTCTTTAGACTAGTGAAATCCAATTTACTCCTTAAGCCTGACAATATCAATAAACAAATTCTGTCAGACTGATCGTGATATCCCATACACCTCATTATAGAGAATTTGATAGAAGATCAAAACATATTCCCTTTGGAGGTGACTATTTCTATGAAAGTTCTCAGAACCTTCTCTCTTGATGACATATTGATATTGCCAGGAGGAACTGATTGAAGTTCAGGGTCACTATATATAAGGTTCAATACTTACATGTACATCATAAATAACTATAACCATTTCAATCCCAGAATGGCCAATTGTCAAAAGTATCTGACAAAATTTCTAAATTTCATTCTGTAGAGTGCTAAAAAAACAGATAGCGCCTAGAGTAACGCCAAAGAGGTTTCATTTAAATGGTCATACCACAGAATTTCATCAGCAGATTTTAAATCTAGTACAAGATTCATTATTCATTCTGGGAATGAAATGATAATTAACACATCTGTTGTCGATCTACTGGTTTGTGTCAGTGACCTATACTAGGAACACTACACTTTGTATTTGAATTTCAATATTTTGCGTTCAGCCTCAAATGTTAGCTGGACTTTTGGGCTGCTATTCGAGGAACCAGAGTGACGCGGGAATTCAAATCCCATATCAAAATGACATGATGCTCATTATATTAAAAAATTAGAGTGAAATCCCTAAAAGAGGACAATGCAGGTTTGATTCAGGCTTGAATTGAATCTTTACAGAGACTATAAACTCCCGCACATTTCTTGAAATTATATGGACAGTAATTTCTTTACCCACAACATCAAGCAGTGCCTGTATGAGTAAAAATATTGGTTATTTGTCCTAAACACCCTCATGCGAAGTGATCAAAACCAACATTGTTCCCAGGGTTATCTCTTACCCGTCCCAGATTCTGGGATACAAATGACCAGACCCGCCAGGGTCTCTCGTAGGGTAGGAGAGAAAACCTGGGAATGAGATTGGATCAAAACCTGTAAATTCAACACCCAAATAACCAAGCATCCCTATCAATTTTATATGGGAGTCCGCACTCACCCACAAGGATAGATGCTTTTATTGGAATTAGGACTGCAGATAGGCCATTCAAGTCAGTAATTGTTCACTGTGTTTGAGTTTCATGTCCAATGAGGCATCTGTTTATCCACCAAAAAATTCAAACGCTTATTGTTCCTTATTTCTCCTAGGATGATCGTACAATCAACCATTTTTACAATTAATTGCACTATAGGACAATTCCAAAACATTGAATCATTTGAGATTTTACTGAACCTTTATAAGATCCTTTAATTGACCAAAAAAATTTATATTTTAAAATTGCCAGACCTGCCAACTCTCACGATCCTGCCTTGACTCTCATGATTTTTCACTTGTCTCACGGCCTCACAACAAGAGTCCCAATCTCACGTTTTTTGGGGAAATATCTTTCTGAAATGAAATGTTACCTTGTTGGATATAAAATGGAAATTCTATGGGGAATGCTAGTGCCAGTATTGTAATATTTCAGCCATGAATTTGGCTTATTTAGAAGAAATGGCTCTTTGCTATAAGTTTCATACCACACAGCAGGGTAATATTTAAATGAGCAGTAAATTCCCCCTATGGAAAAAGGGTTTTTTTAACCGTGATAGGGAAAAACAGAATCTCACTTCTTTTTGTAGAATATCCACATTTTTTTCATTGGTCTCCAGATTCTCCTTTATCAGGGGTTGACAGGTCTGTATTGCTGTTTCTTAGACATGTAGCCTCACCTACACTGTCCTTAATCAGTAAAATCTCCCTGAAAGAGAAACAATGACGAGTCAACAACCATAGATAAACTACCCTCAGTCTCCGCAAGTGAGGAGCGCAGTACCCCAGCAGCAGGGGTGGATCCAAAGTAGTTCAAGTGATTTGCACAAATCACTCAAATTTTTTCCAAATCTTATTTCTCAGCTCTTTATTGCTGTTGACGAAATCAGTTATTCTCCTTGTTTCATTGTTTATTATGAAATTAATAAAACAACTGAGAGATTATTCCGTCGATCACACAGCAAACCCAGCCCCTCCCGAGCGAAGTGGACGAGTCACCGTTCGCGTGGTTTCGTCCTTTGTTGATCTTTCGAGAACCACGCCAAAAAAAGTTCGCAGGCACCACCGGACAAAGTTTCTACCTAGAGGGTAGGGACTGGAGGCATGGCTCTTTTCACAAATCACTCAAAACCTACTTCGATTGGTCAGAATCACTCGCATAATCTTGCGAACTACTCAAACTCGATTGTGATCGGCTATTCAGGTCGCAAACTACCGTGCAAACTACTGACAATCATATATAAAGAGAAGCCTCTCCCTCAGAAGTCCTTTCCTTCTTGTTGAATTCGTAAACTCGCTTCCCCAAGACAAGAATACTTTGATTTATAAACCACGGTTTGAGGCGATCCAGTTTGTCAGAAGGAGGACTGTTCTCAATATGATATTGGCTTGGTTTTCAAGGAAATCAGCTCGTATTCGGACCAGGATAAGCTCAAGTTCATAGAGAATGCGTGGAAACCAGGTGAGCTATTTGATTTCCCAGTGTCAGTGGAATGTTCGAATTCTAAGCGTCACTTTGTGTGGGGCTGGCTGAAAAGATTTCCCTGGCTAGCATACTCAAAATTTCTCGATGGTGCATTTTGTTTACCGTGTGTTTTGTTTGGAGTCCAGTGTGGGAGGAATTCGAGTAAACTCGACAAATTGTGATACAGAAACCTTTCAATACACGAATTTCTATTCGTGTCACCCACCAGGCGTCACGAAAGGCTTTATAAAAGGAGAAGCGTTAAGGCTTCTGAGAACAAATTCCTCTCAATTTACTTTTGAGGAAAACATGAGTAATTTCAAAACACGAGTGCAGAATAGAGATTACCCAGCTAGAATTGTAGAAAAACACCTTTCAGAGATTAAATTCTCTGATAGAGAAATGTCGCTAGCGCAGAAAAACAAAACCGTACCTAAGAAAATACTGCCCTTTGTAACACAATAACATCCGGCTTTGCCTAACCTAAAGGACACACTCATGGGGAAATGGCGCCTTATAGAAAATCAACTGCAACTGAGAGAAATCTTTAAGGAGCCCCCCATCATCTCATACCGTAAGGGAAAATCCCTAAAGGACATCCTAGTTAAAGCTAAGCTATGAAGGCTTTATTAGAATTTATTCTACCACGAACTGCAGGAGTCGTGTAGGCTTGTCAACACTTGTATCAATGCTAATTCACTTGCTAGACCCCTTAGACACAGACAGGCAAAGTTCAGATCTAGACAAAAAAATGTTACCTTGTATAGTCAAACAAATTATGTAATGAATATTTGTACAGAATTATGCCTTTCTGGAGGAGGCACATGTTTATGTGTCTGAATGGCTTGAGGTGCTCTCAGAACGCAGGAAAATGGCAGTTTGAGAGCACTAAATTTCAAATTTTCTTGGGGGAGCATGCCCCCCAACCCCCCTAGTTTAGTTGGTGCAAATCACTCATGTCAAATCCTGGATCCACCCCTGAGCAGCCACCGTGAGGTTGCTGCGTTTACTTGATGGGCCCAAAGATAACTTACCTACGCCTGTTTGAGGCTTTCGAGCTAATGCTAGCCTGCCCCTCTTTTGTTGTGCACGTAAGGCTGCATCAGCAGTAGATGTTGTGCAGCATTTCAGAGGGGTCAGACTAGATAATGGAGCCTTAGCTGATGGCACTGTAACATTCTCTTTTGCCAGCTCCATCAGGTCTTTGACAGACATTTGCTGACTGGGTGCCTTATTACCAATAAGTAGAGCCAGCAGGCGACTTCCCCTGAGTTGATTTTCCCTGGCTGTTTTCCTGCCTCTCTCCAAACTGATCTTGCATTTCCGGAGAAGGTCAGAGCATGTATCCTCATCCCCAGAATCATAAACTACCACTTCCTTTGCTTCCACTGGGGCAATCGTACTTCTCAGCTCCTTTATCTTTTCATTGCTCAACTCTTCCCTTTCCAGTGCTTTCCTTACTTCCCTATCACTCTTTTCCTGGAAGTTAACAGTTTGGTACATTTACGAGACATTGATTAATTGAAGCCATTGTGGAAAGAAAGGAAGAGCGGTTTGTTAACAAATAATAATAGTTATAATGATACAATAATAACCATTGGTCAGTGGCACTTCACTAACTGTATAGCGAGGTTTTTCCAGAATCTATCTCAGGATGGTTATGTTCTGTGTCCTTTGAAATGCATGGAATGTGACACCACCAAGGCCCTGGTGCTGAGTTTTAAGGTCCATCTGATGTCAGTAATCATGTGAATTAATGCACATGCAAGTGATGCAAGTGATGCAACAATCATTATTCAATTCGCATCTCATAACCATAGAAATGGACCATAACCGAACTTGATTCAAAATATGTGCGAGGGATGAACAAACAGCTACTGAAAACATCAGGTGCTGATGTTATATCCTCTGAGAGAAAACTCAGAAAACCTTACGGGCAGAGGGGTGGCATCCAACCCCCCGCCCTTGTATGTCCGAGGGTTGATAAGTCTCATAATTTATTTTGTCACAAATAATTGAATTATTTATTGATTGAATTTTTGTATGTAAATCTGAAAATGTGTATGTACTGTAGTTCTTTGTGTCATACAAGGTTTTCAGTTACTAAAATTTATTAATCTATGAAATAATGACACAAGGACTTCAGCTACAGACTGTAGAGGGCCGAACTTTGAACAAGTGATTTTAGTGCCCTACCTGGCTCCAAAAAGCGCTCAAATTTGTGCCACCATCTGAGTCAGATCAGTTAGAGAGTTTATTATAAAAAAGTAGCTCACCAGATATAGTAAAAGTGAATTTGCAATACACTACATAACCTGAAAATCAAGTAAAATGCCCCGTCGAAATATACATCTGATAGAAGCTGACGTCAACAAATGTCCCATATAGTTTTTTCCTCAAAAGCTAGCATTTAAGTAAATTGTAACATTTGGCTTTTACTTACCAGTGGTACAACTTTTGACGGTGCAGGTGACTAGAGGAAAACAAAAGGGAAGAATTTTTTTGTCAAAGTGTTGTCACGAAACCAGTTAATTAATTATCAAGCAAACCTGCAACAAAACAACACGCGCGACTTTTTGCAATTGCTTGCTCAACAAATGAATTCAACTGGCTTCTAGCCGACGGATTATCGAGTAAAACTTTCATAAGTTCTTCTGGGTTTTGCACTTCCAGTTTCTGCCAAAAAAAACCTCGTTGAAGGAGCAATTTCTCTCCTTGCGTCCACCAAAACATTTTAACTTGTGTCAAATTACCCAAACATTGTCATGCAATAATAAAGCTTGCCACGTTCGCGCAATTTGGCGCTATCTCGCGAAAAAGGAGCACCAAAATATCCAGCAGATCGTAGATAACAAACCCAAGAATAAATTACAGATTATTTAAGTTAGTACAGAATGGCAGATTATCAGACGTGTTTCAACCCCGAATGCCAAGGTCAGCCAGCTGGACATGATGACGCAGAAATAAACTCTCCCTCTATTGACATCAAATCTGGGTCATGTGAGGTGGATGACACTAATGATGCTCACACTCTGATTGGTGAGTCACATCAAGAATTACTTTTATTATCAGAAATGATTTTAGATTTTTCTAGAAAGTATGATATAAGGGTTTGGATTCTCTTTCCTGGACATCACTGTCAGTTGTCTTTCTGCTACTTTCAGCCCTGGATATAACACTAACTCTGGCTTCTGAAAGTCAGCAAATTGACTCCTAAATACGGGGAAGAGGAGGAAACTTCTCAGTTGTTTTTAGCATAAGATATATGTTATGAGTCATTCAAATTCAGCTTAAAAAATTTCAACCTAATATGATAGGTTGATTCTCAATTTCCTTTGTCTTTAAACCCTAATTCATGAATAATTGGCGCTAGGAGACAAAGGAAACAGATAATAAACCTAGATAGAAAAATTTAACCTGAACTTAATTTTGACATGTAT